TCTGTGTGTTGTCTGTGGCAGCATCTGGAATGTTCATAATCCCCCTCTGCAATATTTTGAGAAATTTATCACTAACAGTTGTAAATGTCACTTATGAAGCTTTTTTAGTATTTTTACTAAAATTGATAATTGTTGGATATTAGAAATACAAAGCCAGAATTTATCCTTCTCTGGCTCTCTTCTCATGCATATCTTTTCTGTTCCTTTTTGTTCCCTCTTATATCTTCTCTTACTTGCTTGTTTTGTGTAGTATCTTGAGATTTTCATTTTCATAATCTCATAGCATTTGTTCCAGCACAATAAAAATCCAGATATCTCATCTGTTTGGCTGAGGCTCCATCTCTCAATTGTTTAGCACTTCATTCCTCACCTGGCATAGTATGCAAGTATATATTTAACTTCCAGTATGGGATGAATCCCATTGCTTATATTTACTAGACTGCTTATCTCTTCAAAGTTGGTCACATGATGAAATATTTTAGTCAAGAAAAAAGTGCTTAGGCAAGTAAAGATCAGAGTGTTTGAGATCTTGAATATGGTGGGCAGTGAAGGCAGACGGGTAGGCCTGATGTGCCATAGTCCCTGCTCTTTACACACAGATGCTATGTTTAAAGCACTGTCTATTGTCACTCCAAATAATCCTCTTCTCCTGCTAAGGATTACAAAAATGTTGTTAACTTTTCAGTTAACAAAGCCAAAACCAAGGTGGGTTTCTCAGAGAAGAGGTGTAGGTCTCCACTTTCAGCAGCATCCGCTAATTAATAGCACTGACAATTTTAGATGTTAACAAGACATGTGAGATTATTAATAATGAGAAGGCAGACATTGTCCTTGGGTTAATATACAGCGATTATGAAACTCAAGCAAGAAGAATATTAAACTGAAGTTTCTCTTTCACTTCGGCTGCTCATACTCAAAGAAGGTGAGGACCTCAGTCTATTTAAGAGGTCAAAAGTTGTCTTTTCACTGTGAAAAAAAGTATTTATCTGGAGAAGTACTTTTAGAGATGGATTTTTTTTTTATTTCACAAAGGAAAAGACCAGGATCCAGTTGTTAGAAGAAAAAGAAGGAGGAAAAAAAAAAACACTTTAAAAAAAAAGACATTAAAATTATCTTATTCTAAAATAATATTTGTGGGGTATAAAACTTTCTTCAAACCATTAAAAAAGTGTGAGGGGAATCATCTTTCTGAAAGTTATTTTGTAGCTCAAAGTGAACATACAGTTTTGTGGAGAAACTACTTTGGGAAAAATGTGCATGATCAGTTTTGTGTAGGAGACCTGAGCAGATGCCGGAAAGAACGATGGATTCTTTAAATCCATAAAGTGTACTTAGTGCCTTAGTGAGGAGAATTGCTTTTTTTCTAAATTTCTCATTTCTGCTTTAGAAGAAATCATTTCCCTCTTATAAGCTTTTCTCATCTAGTTAATGCAGTTTATAGCTATTCTCATATACACAAAAGCATGCTTTATGTAGTTTGGAGTAGAACTAATACTTTTGGAAGAATAAGCTTTTTGTGTTTTCCTCAATAGCAATCTTTGCTGGTAAACAGTTGTTTCTTGTGCAAGCAGTGGGCTACACTGTATAAAATTTTGTGTTCAATTATGTTTTTTGTTGTTTCAAATGAAAAAGAAATAGTTGCCAAGGTTTTCAAAATTGGTGTCCAAGAGTAGATGATTACAAATTCATTTAGGCATCTAAGCAGAGATATATTAACTTATAGCGATGCCGAGCACTTGGATTTGCCTTTGTCTTTGGGGTGCCTCTGTTAGATCATGGCACCATTGCATATATGTATAAATATATATATAGTTGGTGGTTTAACATGGCAAATGCATGTCAAAGCGTAAGGCTGAGTATTATTTTAATCAGGATATATACGGATACTGTTTTCCAAGAGAAAATTCAAATGAAACTTAGATAATGATAAAACTTGAATTGTTACTAAAATAATATAAGCATTACTAGAAGAAAATGAAACTAAGTAAATGCTGTATTTGGAAAAAGTGTCAGAAAACAGATGGAAATTTGTTCTTCAAGGTGTCTTGAACTTAACTAATGAACATGATTGTCATGTGGTATAAACCATATATATAGACTTTTATAGACCTTGCTTATGTAGCAAGTAGTCTTTATCCTCACCACCGAAGACCTGTAGAAGCTCAATTTTGCAGTTTGCATAATAATATGAAGCTTCTAAAATTTTATATGAACACAGATTGGAGTTACTATTATGTGCTTACGATAACTGAGATTTTTCCTTAATTCTTAGTCTTAAGAATTTTTTGGCTGCCAAAATGACATCAAGTAAATACTTGCAAAGCCATGTTTTTAAGAAAACATTATTCATTATAGAAGACTTTATGTGTTTGTATCCATGTATATATAAACTTCAATTATTTCAGTTACAGTTCTTAGTGCATGGGAGAGTCATAAATCTTGTCAGTTCTTTAATTGTTCTTTAATTGCAAGCTCTTCTTACTCAGGGCCTTTTGACTAGTAACTTAAGGAAACAAGGAGTGTATAATTATTATTCATCTGTCTTGTTCAGTCCTTTTGAATATGTTAGCCAAATCCAATGATATTTGCAACTGAGATAGAAATATCAGGAATAGTTAAGTTCACACATTTCATGAAGATAAACATCTGGGAAAGAAAATAAACCCAAATTACTTGATCCTTTTGGGAAAAGCAAGCAAATTTAAAATTGGATTTTTGCAAGTCAGCTGTGTACTTGATATGTATTTCTTTTTATTCCACCATGCTGGTCTAGTAGTGAATATCATAAGGCAAATGAGAAAATGTAGGGGACAAACTGGAGGGAAACAAGCCGCTTCTGATACTCAGAAGCTATTTACCTTTTTGTTGGGTAGACTTCTGATCTGTTTTAAGACTGTTGTTTGTCAGGGAATATAGTTCTTTGCTTGCAACAATTCCATCATCTCTGCAAATGCACAATAACTGCCGACGTACAGTCAATCATACGCTGGATAGTTTACGGGTTACATTTAGTAGATAAAAAGGAATATCTGTGTAATAAATCGGTAAAACAATTATTCATTATATGTCCTGCTTTTTTGAACGTAGCATAGGTGGCTGCTTTACAAGATGACTGGTATTTTCCCTAATCAGGTTAACGAAAAGTAAATTGTTAAATACATCAGTTTTTATGACCCTCATATTTTCAGAAAGCCCTTAGCTTAATAAAAAATATTTATCTAAATGTCTGCATGTTAGATGAGTGTCACTGGGTACCTTGGAAACTGATGAGATTCAAATGGCTGGAAACTGCGATGATGTAATAACTATGAAACTTGGTTCTGCCAGTTTTTTTGTTGTTGTATTTTTGTTTGTTTGTTTTCTGGTTTATGAGTAAGGATTTATATTTTACAGAACTCTGTTGTACCTTATTAGTGACACTTTTTTTCTATTTTTTTTTGGTCACACAATGTTTGAGCAGTGTCTTAACTGGTTTGTTTTTTCTAATTTTTAAGCTTTGAAAAGGTATAAAATCAAATCATGCAGCAGCGTGGGTTCTGGTTTTTTTGGGAAGTAAAAAGTTGTCACTAGTGAATGCAGAAAATATTAACCAAATTATAGTTTTATTGATCAATAACTAATTCCACACCAAAAGGATCTACTTAAAAATGGTAGGAGTAAGAAAAATAAAAACATAGTCCTAACACATTGGCTTCTATATGGTTTGAAGTAAGACAATGAAGTCTTACTTCAAGCAATGAATTGTTCGTATTTCTTTTTTGCAAGACTTATCTACATGGAGACAGTGACTTCAGCCGATTGGTTCATGACCATGTGGTCTCATTAGGTGTTATGCTACAACATTCCTAGCCCTGTAGTGCAAGAAGCAAGGAACAAAGAGCTCTGCCCTCTTCAGATGTTTTCTTGACTTTGGATTTTTTTTTTTTTCTTTTCACTGAAGTAGGCTTGTAGGATGGCCCTCCTGTCAAACATGGAGGTAGACACAGATGGAACCTTAGTTTAGATAAGCAGTATGTTCTGGTTCATAAAATTAAAGTTGTCTACATTAGAAGTATTTTGCATAATAATCACCCAGGTTTGTAAATAAAGAGTCTCGGTAGACTCAGTCAACTTGCTGAAATGTATTTTGGTTTATACCTGCAAGGCAAGCAAGTGATTTTGTGTTTTGCTGATTTTCTCTACCATAGCAACTGAAAGCCTTACAAAAAGTTTATTTTATAGTGTAATACTGTGTATTTTGAAAAGCTAACCAGTAGAGAATACAATGAATTTGTCTGCTGTAACTCTGAGTGATCTTTGAAAATATGTACTTCTTGTACCTCTTGAAACCTCCTAAAACAGAGCACCTACTGTATGGCCAATTTTAACTTTATGAATCTCAATGCAACTAATTAAAAAGGAATATGTTTGAATGTTTTTAGTAACAATATATGAACTCCCAGAATGACTGGGTTATAATTCAATCTGTCAGCTTTGCTGCCATTCATAAACTGCTCAAGCTGTGCACTCTTAAGGTTTATGAAGGCTTCAGAAATTTCAGATTGAATTAGAGCTTTATTCTGCTCAGAAGCTGGAACATTGCATGACTTAACATTTTGTTTGTGAGACTAAGGATATTTTATAGTCCTGAAAGTATTACTTAAATGTATATTTAATGTAGAATCCTGATTTTTGTAACTGTTCTTCAGGGAAGTTCAGTTTTTCATTTAGCCTTCGTATCAGTTGCATTAGGACATTCACTGTGTATATTTATATGCATAAATTGCTTGGTTTTCTTCAACCTGTATTCTGTGTATGTGACCGTCTTGCATACCTATATGTGTATTTCAAGTAAATTGAATTGGTAAAGTGTACGTTTTGTTTAGTAATATTGTTCACGAACAGAACATAAACATAAGTCAGTATTATGTAACAGAGTTCAAAATATTTGTGTATATATTAGAGGTATTATAAATTATGAGAATTATTATAAGGAAGTTCTTAAAATTTTCTGTCCGTAGGTTACTGAGTCAAACTATGAAGGACCATTTAGTAAGAGTGGCTAATGAAGCAGAGTTTATCTTGAGTAGACAGCGAGCAGAGGATATTCATCGGCATGCTGAATTTGAGGTAAGAAATTAAGTCTCTAAAACCAAAAACACTAGACCCAAGATGTTTGAGAACTCTATGGCTGGGATTAGGTTTTAATCAAGGAATTTAAATCCTGGAAGATGCGTTTTGACCGGTCCCTATTGCAGCTAACTTTGATGGAAGAACAGGCTGTGCGGGGGAGCTCAGAACTTGTCTGAATCTTCAAAGAATAGTTTGAGGGGAGAGAATTGTGCCGTACTAGTGCTCTTTTCCTGGAAGTGGGTATCACTGTACGGATTTAAACTGCTTAGCACCCCAGTCAGGATGCAAGTCTGGGTGGGGGCAGGGAGGGAAATGCTGAAGATGAATTAACAGCCTTGAAAAACAAGGAACAACTTTGTGTGTTTAATTTGTTTGCTGTTTCACTTAATCTGTCTCTAAAATCTCCAATTTTGGATCTCAGCTGCTTCATGTAGCTCCTTTTTATGTGCATTAATTTTCCTTGTTTAAATAAAAACAAACTTAAGTCTCACTAAATTCACTAATATTCTGCTTGAAGAGTACTTAGTCTTTCTTCTGATATGTGATACTACTTGTGGTTTTGTTTTTAGAAAGAAGCATTAAGAGATTGAAGGCACATTTGTGTTTAACGTATTTCTAAACTGTTTTTCTCTTAAATCTTTACTTGAAAAAATACTCCCCAAAGATGAAAGCATATTTGGCTTAGACAGTGCTTATATTCTAAAGGTCATTGGTGTTGGCCCCAGGATTCAAGCTGTGCGTTATTTAATAACATATCTGCACTTCATCTAGAGCTAGTTACCCCCTCCTGCAAACAGAGATGTTGTAAGGTATCTACAGTACCATTTTGCAGTGGTGAAATAGCAGGCGTGTTTCATTTATTACATCAAGACTTTGGCGACAGTCCTGTGGAGATGAAAAGTGCATCCTTTTCTCCATTGCCTGATAATCATTGGAGTGGGACGTGCGTGACGCCTTTTGCACTGGATTTATGCAGAAGCTCCATGCATGATGTGGTGCTATTGATTAGACGAGCAGCTCGCAGTTGTTCTTCAGATGCAGGCCATACATGAAGGTGTGCGCAAGCGTAGGGGGCAAATCTAGGCGAAATGCAGGGTTCTGTCATGTAAATTCAGGGCATCAATGAATGAATACAGTTTTTTAGTTGCAACTTAACCATTATTCTGATCCTTCCTTTCCAAGCACTGTTATCTCTCTGGTTACAGCTGAGAACAAATATGTCACAGAGGAAGCTGAGCCAAATGTACCAATTTTACAGTGTTCCTGAGCATCAAGCAAGCCTGATGAAGCAGTATTACAGTCATTTATGCTGGCGAAGGGAGAGTGAAGCTCATGATTTTGCACTAGATGGGGAAATGTGAGCACTCCAACATAAGTCACTGATATTTTCTTGGTGTCCCTGGGATTTATATGCACAGGTCATTTGAATACTTTTGCAAATTTCACCCTGAGTTGCATGGCAGAGCTGAAAATCCTGCAGAGTAATTGCTTTATGCCTGAATTCTAACAACTAGTTTCATGCCACTACCCAGGCTGCTTTCTGCAAATGACCTTGAAAAATCTGGCGTTTTGCACTGTGTCTCAGAGTGATTATTTGTGCAGACTGCTGCAGAGTTGGGCCTACGAGAATAATTGGATTTGGTGCGAGGAGGGGGAGGGAGTTTTCTGCTCTAATTGACTTTATTTTGTAATTTATGACAAGAGCACCAATTGCCTTGGATAGATGTCCCTTATATAAATCTTTTCATGCATTTGTGTGTGAATATACATATTTATAGAATTCAAATATGTAAACCTGCAGGTGTTATAGGCCTGAAGTGTTCAAGCATCATCAAGTCTTATCTTTCTAGTATAGTTTTATTTGACATTGGATGGCACTGCAAGATTTTGACTGAAATCGGTGATGCCCCATCTGTGACTGTGTAAAATATTTCGGGTGATTATTCCTCCAGCAATTCATGTTTTTGGCTTAAAGATCGGGAAAATGGTGGGGGGATAGTTGTTCTTCATAGAACCATTCATAAAGCTGAATATCGTGTGTATGTGTAGAGAAGCAATGAGCAATGCAGCACAATTTTATTAAAAACCTCCAAAATGTTTGGAAAAGGATTCCGCACTTCGTGTCTGAGAAATAGTGGCCACGTTTGTCAAACATTATATCTGTAAAATGTAATGACTGTCATAATTTAGAAACCAACCCACCTCCTGGTGCCTCTTCTTTAAAAAGACTGTGCAACTTTGACAGTCTCTTAACTTCCTTTTTTTATTTTATTCTTTCGATTTCTCATCATCCATAGAAATATAAAGTACCGGTATTCTTATTGCTTGTTTCTGTTGATTAACTGAGAATTTCACGTGACTCTGCCTTTACATTTGTTATAAATCATGCTAGGCAGCTAACTTCTCTGCATGATTTCTCTTCAATAATTAAATCTAGCATTTCCAGCTGCTGTAAAATTTGTTGCCCTTTTCTGTTCAGTTATGTTTCTTCATGCGGAAAACTTAGACTTCCTCACAGTTTTAATTCTTGCTCAGTATCAATTTATAGGCCATAGTTTAGCTGTAATAAACTGAATGTTTTGCTTTATGGCTCATGCTGAAAAACTAATCTTAATGTTAATGTAAGTACTGCCTTGACAGAGGTAAGATGCAAGGCTAGGCAAGCATTCCTCTGGTGACTCAAATATAGCTTCTCGGCAGAAAACAAAATTCCGTGGTTCTGTTAATTCCTAATTCTGTGTATTCTGCACCTTTTCTGCTTTGCATTAAATGTTGGAAGATGTTATTTTAAATCCGTGGAAGTAGCTTAAGAGAACTGCAAATCAATTGTGACAAAATATCCTTAAGTCAAAGAGAATCTCTGAGTACTCTCAAAAAAATATGAGAAGGTATTTTGGGACTTTATAATTCCTTCAGATGATAGTTGTGTTCGTGACAATCACAGGGGGGAAGATGGAAAGGTTTTATACTTGACTGGGTCCCTATTCTTTGTCTAATCCCTTACCAACCCCTGCCCTCTCGTTTTTAATCATGAAAGCTGCTTTCTTGAAGAACTTGTGTCACAAATACACTCATGACTCTTGCAACACTCTTTGCACAGAACTGTATTCACGTTTAATGGCAATGACCTTACTGAACAGAAAATTTTGGAATGATTTAAATTAAGTTGGTCTTTTCAACCAGTGAGGGTTTTCAGCAAACCATCTGAAATGAGTGTTTGAAGATAACGGATGGTGCAAATTGTAGGCTGCCTGTAGTCAGCTTGACAAAGTTATAGTTCTTTCCATTGCCATGTTACATTTTTACAATCTCCTACAAGTCATAAATGCCCTTACACAAAAATATGCCTTTACACATTTCATTAAGAGTAGATTTAACTCTATCTCAAATTTCTCTCTTTAAATAAACGCTACTCTTGGCATTGGGTAGGTTAGGCATTGTAGCACCATCTGTCGGTAGAAGGAAGAAAAAATTAGACTTTGGTTTCTAAACATTGTTCAACATCCTATGCAATCTGTGAGCTCTTTACGCCCAGTATTTTTTCTTTTTTTTCCGTTGGAAGCTTTGGAGGCTTAACCAGTTGTGTGCGACTACAGTATGTTGCAAAGTCCAAAATTAGAAAAAATAAATTTCCCATATTTCTGGGGTGGCAATTTCCAGGATTTTTCTTTTCACATGAGTTGAAGGATACTGAAATCAAAAGTTCACTTTCCTCTTCGCCATTGCAATATCTTCCTTGCACTCTGGGAAGTGTTTAGTGGGGATAACTACCAGCTGATGATGAAAGAAAGAATGGATATTTGTGTGTTTCTTTTTTCTCTATGCTTTAATAAGCAGGAAAGGAGTGGGAGGAGAAGGAATCAGAACCCCCTCTGAATGGTTCAATGTCTTTCTTTATACTTTGATTTTAAATCAAAATGCACTATAGCAATAATTTCTGAAGCTGTTTGAAATAGAAATTTTGTTTTATGATTACTCTCTCCTATCAACCTATTTGACAAAACTGGAAGTGATACTATCTTCATTATGATTGCTGCTTGTGGTGATTGTGAGATAGATTATGTGAAGAGACATTACCAAAATGTCAAAATTAGCTTCACTTATCTCAGGTAATTCTTTGTGAGCTCTCGGGCTGTTATTTCCCAAATGCTCAAATGAATATCTAGTTATGAGGGCATTGTAGAGCTAAGGATTCAGAAATAGGAAAAAAAAAAATGTCAGTAAGCTTGAAAGATTTGATCTTTGCTTAGATTATTTCAAAATTCTAAGTCATTTAGGAGGTTAACAGAATCCACTTGGAAAATCCATCTCTCTCTTTTTTCCACATTAACAACTTTCTTCTTCTGTTTCACAAATAGTATACTGATTTCTCTGTAAAATGTTTAATAAAGATATAAGAGCATGTGTACTGAGTTAGACCAACAAGTTTGATATCTGCTTTCTAGAGTTGGATAGTTCATGCTTAGAGATTGGTACAAGAATAGTGCAATTATATAGGGAAACTTCCTTAGTTCTAGGTGGCAGGGATGAGGTTTTAGAGAAAACTTAGCATTTTTAAGTGTTGGATTTCATCTATTATTTTATCTCCCATTCACGTTTTTAGCATTTTTTTCCCCGTGTGGTCCTCTTTTTTTTTAAACCCTGAAATATTTAGAAATATCAGCAAAATTTGTCCCCTCCTCCACAGCCTTTCCACAGTCCCTTATAAATACATTTAATAACTCAGTGGGATGCAATTAACTGACACTTTTTTTCTAACCTCCTTCCTTTGTTTTGATCACTTTTTATTCATATGAGGGCATTCCTCTGTACTCCGCAGCCCACCAAACCTTGAGTGACTTTCTCTGTCACTCAGCATTCAACAGTGGACTTTATCAACAGGATCTTTCATGTTTGTGTGCAGTGGAGCAGGACCATTATAAAACCCATGCTGGCTCTTCACAGTTTGTCTTTTCCATTACTTGCTCTTGTTTTTTTAAGCAGTGCTAGCGGCTAAT